GCGGCCCACCGCGGGCGGCGGCAGCCAGGTCCGCGGCGCCGCCGCCGCCAGCCCCGCGCGCGCGCCAGCCTCTGGGGGGAGGCGGCGGCGGCGGCGGCAGCAGCAGCAGCCAGGGGCGGTCCCCGCCTGCGGCAGCCAGGTCCGCGGCGCCGCCGCCGCCAGCCGCCGCGCGCGCCCCAGCCTCCGGGGGGAGGCGGCAGCGGCGGCGGCAGCAGCAGCAGCCAGGAGCGGGCCCAGCCCGCAGCAGCCAGGTCCGCCCGCCGCCGCGCGCGCGCCAGCCTCCAGGGGGGAGGCGGCGGCGGCGGCGGCGGCGGCAGCAGCGGCCGCCGGGAGCGGGCCCAGGCCAGGCGGCCCGCCGCGGGCTGCAGCAGCAGGGCGGCGCCCTCGCCGAGGCCAACGCGGCGGGCCGGGCGCGGCGCGTACCTGGGCCCGGGGCGTGTTTGGGCCAGACGGCTGGTGGGGATATTTTTTTTGATTTGCGGCCCGCAAGGAAAAGTCCAGAGGGCGTGTCAATAGGCAATGGGGCGCAATGCCAGATAATTAGGGATGCAGAGGACCACTGGGCGAATGCCAGCGGAAGCCAACGAGGAGTCGCCCTGACGGCGCCAGCTCGCAAGCGGAAAACTGCCACAAGCTGCCAACCGCAAAGCACGCACAGGGCGCTGGTGGAGATACGCGAAGCGTCAAGAATTTGTTTTGCGGGTGGAGGGCAGATCGTTTGCAACATGTGGTTCTCGCCTTAGAGAGGAGCACGCTAGAGCTTAACAGTTTGCAAAGGATTCACTGATTGAGGGCGGTTGGGCCAGTTGCGCCACTTGGGGCAGTTGAGTCAGTTGGCCCAAGGCGTCGGCACCACGTGGGTCAGTTGGGTCAACCGCCCCGTGGGCAACTGACCCAACTGACCCAACTGGCGCAAACGATTATCGCAGTCCCCCGCCCTTCTAACGCAACTGACCCAACTGATCCAACTGACCCCGAGTGGCGCAATCGATGAAAAGTTGCTACTTCCGCCCGCAGTTGGATGGAGGGCGGTCCCTTTTCAAGATGTGGTTCTTACCGTAGCGCCACGCGCATTCGTCTTGACAGCGTATAACGGTTTCAAGGAAACTCATGGCTGCGGTCCAAGAACTGGTAGAGGCCTCCTAGATGGGGTCGGAGTAGATGGGTTGGAGGATGGCGCCGCATCGACGATACATCGACGATGCATCGGCGATGCATCGGCGACGTCGACGTGAAGCAAATCGGGCTCCACATCGAGCCGCATCGGCGATGCATCAACGATGCGGCGCGCTCCTTCGACCCCATCTACTCCGACCCCATCTAGGAGGCCCAGAACTGGTGTTTGGGCACGATTTAGGACTTGCAGGGCGCGACGGTCACGCTGACTCGCTGTGCGGACGTCCCAAAAACAGCTCGGGTACGATTTAGAACCGCCCTGCCGCAGCAGTATCGTTGAAGCTCCAAGAATGGAGCTCTGGCACGGTTAAAGAGTTTCAGACGGTTTTCTTCCAACGGGGCTCTTCGAGTATCGGAGGTGAGGGGGTGAGATCGAAGTGGAACGGAGAGCCCCCCTACCGGGAAATCGATTTCGGTTTCGTGTTCGTGCGTGCCGTGCGTGCGGGCGAGGCGAAGCTGCGTGGGCGGGCGGCGGGCGAGAGGAAAGTCTCCTGTGGCTGAGGCGCGGCCGGACCAAATGATTCTCCACCGGGCGGCCGGTGGCGCGCGGTGTCCCGCCGGTGCTCCGGTGGTGTCCTCTGTGGCTGAGGCACGGCCGGACCAAATGATTCTCCACCGGGCGGCCGGTGGCGCGCGGTGTCCCGCCGGTGTCCCGCCGGTGTCCCGTCGGTGTCCCGTCGGTGTCCCGATCGTGATGTTGATGATGATGATGATGATGATGATGATGATGGTGATGATGATGATGATGATGATGATGATGATGATGATGATGATGATTATGATGTTGATGATGGCGATGATGATGATAATGGTGTTGTTGATGATGATGATGACGTCGATTGTGAGATCGATTGTGATATCGATAGTGAGACCGAATGTGAGATCGATTGTGAGATCGATAGTGAGATCGATTGTGAGATCGATAGTGAGATCGATAGTGAGACCGAATGTGAGACCGAATGTGAGATCGACTGTGAGATCGATTGTGAGATCGTTAGTGAGATCGACAGTGAGACCGAATGTGAGACCGAATGTGAGATCGATTGTGAGATCGATTGTGAGATCGATTGTGAGATCGATAGTGAGATCGATAGCGAGATCGATAGTGAGATCGATAGTGAGACCGAATGTGAGACCGAATGTGGGATCGACTGTGAGATCGATTGTGAGATCGATAGTGAGATCGACGGTGAGACCGAATGTGAGACCTAATGTGAGATCAATTGTGAGATCGATTGTGAGATCGACTGTGAGATCGATTGTGAGACCGATAGTGTGATCGATTGTGAGATCGATAGTGAGATCGATAGTGAGACCGAATGTGAGACCGAATGTGAGATCGACTGTGAGATCGATTGTGAGATCGATAGTGAGATCGACAGTGAGACCGAATGTGAGACCGAATGTGAGATCAATTGTGAGATCGATTGTGAGATCGTTTGTGAGATCGATAGTGGGATCGACAGCGAGATCGATAGTGATATCGATAATGAGATCGAATGTGAGATCGATAGCGAGATCGATTGAGTGAGACGTTGGTTCCCCCTCCCCTCTCACCTCCTTATCACCCGCAGGGTGGTCGTATAGGTACATGCTTGTAGAAATACATGAGGAGGGAACCTGCAGGGAAGGTTATTGCAACATCGTTGATGAGTCTTGGCTTTACCATGGTCCTCCTCCTTCTCCTCCTCCTTCTCCTTCTTCTTCTCCTCCTCCACCTTCTGCTCCTCCTCCTCCTTCTCCTCCTCCTCCTCCTCCTTCTCCTCTTTCTCCTCCTCCTCCTCCGTCTCCTCCTCATCATCATCTTCCTCAAAATACTCCTTCGTCGTCCGTGCTCGATGGTAGTGGTTGAGCGAGGACAACCCGGGGCTCCAGCTGTGGGGCCATCCTAACGCAGAACCACCTTGCGCACCGTAGGTCGCGCAGTACCGGATTGTGATTCAAGCTCAATTCCTTTCGACCTTCGGCCTGACACCGTTTCTCCGCCGCCACCGCCTCCTCCTCCTAGTCTCCCTCCTCCTCCTCCTCCTCCTCCTCCTCCTCCTCCTCCTCCTCCTCATACTCCTTCCTCCTCCTATTCGTCATCAGCATCACCACCACTCTCGTCATCACAAGTCTCAGAATCCTCACCATAATACGCATCACCATCACCACCACCACCACCACCACCACCACCACCACCATCATCATCATCATCATCATCATCATCATCATCATCATCATCATCATCATCATCATCGTCATCGTCATCGTCATCGTCAGCAGCAGCAGCAGCATCATCATCATCATCATCATCAGCATCATCATCATCATCATCATCATCATCAGCATCATCATCAACACCACAATCACAATCACCAGCACCAGCACCATCATCTTCATCATCAGCATCATCCTCAGCATCATCATAATCAGCATCATAATCATCATCATCATCATCATCATCATCATCATCATCATCATCATCATCATCACCATCATCATCATCATCATCATCATCATCATCATCATCATCATCATCATCATCAGCATCATCATCGTCATCATCATCAGCATCATCCTCAGCAGCATCATCAGCATCATCATCAGCACCAGCATCATCATCACCAGCACCAGCACCAACCAAGTCTCAGAATCCTCACCATAATACGCATCAACATCATTATCATCATTAGCAGCAGCATCAGCAGCATCATCATCATCATCATCATCATCATCATCATCATCATCATCGCCATCATCATCATCACCATCATCATCATCATCATCGTCATCATCATCTTCATCATCATCGTCATCATTATCACTATCACCACCAGCATAAAGATCAGCATCATCATCATCATGATCATCATCAGCAGCAGCAGCGGCATCATCATCGTCGTCAAAAGTATCATCATCAATGTCATCATACATCGTCATCATCATCATCATCATCATCATCAGAATGATCATGACATCTTCGTGGTCTCTATGGTCGTCTGAGAGAATGTATCCAGGGTGGTCATCTGCGTCGTCGCCCTCATCATCAGCACTTTCATCATCATCACCACCATTACCATTATCATCATCGTCATCATCATGATCATGAGATGATCATCACCATCAGCATCAGCATCATCATTATCCCCATCATCATCCTCATCCTCATCCTTATCCTCATCATTAGCAGCAGCAGCATCAGCATCAGCATCAGCATCAGCATCAGCATCAGCATCATCATCATCATCATCATCATCATCACCATGATCAGCATCGTCGTCGTTATCATCATCAGCAGCAGCCGCAAAATCAGCATCATCCCCAGCATCATGATGATGATCATCATCATCATCATCATCATCATCATCATCATGCTCATCATCATCATCGTCATCATCGTCATCGTCATCAGCATCATCATCGTCAGCATCCTCATCATCATTAGCAACAGGAACAGAATATCAATCGTTATCATCATCAGCAGCAGCATCATCACGATCATCAGCATCATCCGCAGCAGCAGCATCATCGTCGTCATCATCATCATCAACATCATCATCATCACCATCATCAAAATCATCACCACCACCACCACCAGCATTATCAGCATCATCAGCATCATCGGCGTCGCATCAGAATCATCATCATCATCACCATCATCATCATCACCATCATCATCATCATAACCACCACCACCATCATCATCATCATCATCATCATCATCGTCACCATCATCCGTTCCATTGTCACCACCACCAACTTCGTCATCGTCACCATCAGCAGAAGGATCAACATCGCCATCGTCATCGTCGTCGAAATCGTATTGCGCGGGCCCTTCGTGCCGTGCCGAGGAAGTCGTCCTTCGTAAAAGCGTCATGGTCCCACACCTCGAATTTCAGCACCTGCACCGGGGGGCCCCGGAGGACGGAGCACGGAAGGGAGCAGGCGCGAACCAGACGAGGAGGAAGGATTCGAGGGGCGAGGGGTGCAGGAGGGGGATCGACGAGGACGACGACCAGGAGCGCAAGAGGGAGCGCTTGAGTCGTGCGCGCTCACCTTGGGAGCCCACCCCGTGTCCGCCAGGGCAAGGCGCGGGAACGGGCAGCCCCAGCGAGCAAGATAATGAGCCCGGGGCTCATGCTGCCAGCGTGTACTCGCGCGATGACCACCGCTCAGTGTTCCCGCCGGCAGGTCCTCCTACCGGCGGAGTTTGGACGGAAAAACAGAAAGACACAAAAATGCCAGAAAATATCCGAAAGTTGTCGAGAGATAGTGAGAAAATCGTCCCCGTACAAGTCTTGGACCATGTTTGAACATTCCTCCTCCAGATGGGACGTGCCCGACTCGACACAAAGGGGGGTTCGGCGGCGCGCCGCGGGAGGCAGCGAGCGAAGGCAGGCCCTTGAAGAAGGCGGCGGGGCTTCTCAAGAGGCCCCTGGGCGCGGGCCTCCTGAGCTTCCCGGGAAGGCCCGCCCCCTCTGCCTGCCCCCCCCCCCGGGGGGCGCGCCGCCGAGGAGGCGAGGAGACAGGATCCGCAGGGGGTTGGGACAGGAGGAGGATCGACCAGGAGGACGCGGAGGTGGACGGGGCGGAGGAAGGAAGAGGACGAGGACGAGGACGAAGACGACGGGGGAGGGGGGGGCAGGAGCCAGAAATCTGCGGGATGAGAAGGCGGCTCCGACCCGACGGGCGTCGATTCGATGCCATCATGTGCAAAACCCGCACACACACACACACAGACACACACGCACACACACACACACACACAGACAGACACACACGCACACACAAAAAAACAAAAAACAAAAAAACACGCACGCACCCAAACACAAATACACACACACACACACGACCAAATAACGAGAAAGCCTAGAAGTCGGACGAGGCAACGAGCCGGGGCCTGCGAGGGAGGAGGCAGGAGGGTCAGGAGGACCTGAGCAGCAGCAGCTGACATCAAGGATGCTGGATGGCGCCCGCCCGTCCCAGGTCCCCTCCCCGTCGGCCCTTATGCCACCGCAGGATGTGCCCCCCGGACGAGACGAGGGCCCCGCGGCCCTGCAGCTTTCGAGCGCGGGCGCCGTCGCGGAGGGGAGCTGCCGTCCATGTTGCGGCGACGACGCGAGACCGCAAAATCAAAGCAAATGCCCAACCAAACCCCTGCTCTGCAGCAAGAAAACGAGCCGTGCAAAACGGAAAGACAACGATAAACGGGTGGTCACTATATAGAAAAAAAAAAGGCACTCAGCGAAAAAAACATGTGAGAACAGTCGCCATCCATCCGTAGAGCTACTGCTACTGCACCGCGTTACATGTATGATCATCCGGCGGAAGGAAGCACGATGCTGATCAGAAAACGCCATCCATCCTTGTGATTATTGATAATTTCCAAAACGAGTGCGCGCGGCGCTACGGTGAGAACCACATGTTCAAAACCACACTCCTGTCGCCCCGTGTAAATGTTGGAGTTTTGAAGGCGGATGCACGCAGAGCTAAAGGCTAACGTGGGGCCGTTGCATTGTGTGGCTGGGGGAAAGAGAGAGAGAGAGAGAGAGAAAGAGAAACAAAACAAAACAAAAAAAAAACGCCATCCGCGTGGTTGCTGGAAATTTATAAGCCGAACGCGCACAGCGCCAAGGCGAGAGCCACGTTTTGAAAAACGACCCCCTCCTGGTGAAGCCGTAGGGTGAATCTGCACTGCAACAAGAGGCAAAAGGATATATGTTGTTTCATTCAGGCCGAGCACCGTTTGATCCAAATGGTTGCGGAAGAAAGCCCCCGCCTTTGAAGGCCCAAAGGCTGACTATGACTACCTAGCAGACCACCCCAACCTGGGGGGGGAGCGAGGGTTCCACACGTGTTTTTTCAATGTTCCCCGACACCCCCCCAATCGAAATGAATGGCAACTGGGAACATTCAGGTTGAGTTGGGGTGGTCTGGTGGGTGGTGCCTTCGGGGGCCCAAAGGGTCAGTAATATTCAAAACCTCGCAAGCTCTTAACACGCGCGCATTCGCCACCAGCGGCACCCCATCGGCCCGACTTCGGCGGCCGGTGAACCCTTCGCGTTGCCGGCGTCGGAACACCCCACCGCTGGCATTCCATAACCACCGAAATATACACATCTGGATCACATCAAGCCCTGATAAGGAAAAGGGGGGCGCAAAACGATGCAGCACCACAAAAATATGACAGCACCCGAAACACCGGATACGGTATTTGCACAGAAAAATTAGACGCCAGTTTCGTCGATGTACTCCATTCCAGGCGAACATCTCATGCATGCTTCACCAGGCACATGACGGGGTCGCCCGTGAACGCCGTCGTTGTGAAAATCAGCTCCCAGTCGATCTTAGTGAGTCCGTCGGCAAGCTGCTCCCCCGCAGGAACCCAACGGAAGTAATGGAGGGCGATCGCCTCTTGGATGCTGATGCTGAAAAGATCGACGATCGCACGCTTATCGGCGAGGCTCGGAGTTGTTCGCTGGACCGAATCGCACAGACACTTGCAGTCCGTATCTGAGCTTGAAGGGGAAGCCTGGCGTCTCGCGCGACGCGTCGGTCTGGTGGATGATAGCGCCGAACACGGCTGCAGCGAAGAAGCCCGCGTCGATGGCGGCCGCGGCCGCGCGTGCCTCGCCAGCTAAAGAGCTCCTCACAACGCGCGGGATTCTCACACTGCGGCACTCCACGATCGCGCCTCGAGCCGGCCGATTGAGCAACTGTTTGCAAACGAACACGCCTTCGGCATTGGCCGCGCGTCTGTCGTGGCCAGCAACGAAGACGCCCTCGTCGATGCCGACGCGCACATCGATGATGCCAGTGTCAACCGTCTTGCGAGCACCCGAGAACCCGAGCAACTGGGCCAGAATCCTGGGGCCCGCCAGCGTCGGGCAGCCCGACTGGAGCAGCGACGCGCCCGCCAAAAAGTCAGCGCGCGTCTTGCTGGAGTGCTCGGCGCGCCCAGCACGCCCCCACTCGCAACTTCGCTGGCCCTGGCCGTCTCGCCCGAACTGGCCCCATCGAGCTCAAGACCGACCACGGCCACCTCGACGACGTCAAATTATAGCCATGGTCGCCACGCGAACGCGTTCAAGACTGCGCTTCAGTCGAACCGCGGGGAGCGCGACAGCTTCGAGCGGCCCCGCGCGCGGAAACCGATGACACACGCGAGTTTCGAGCGACGCTGGCCCTGCATGGGGCCCCAATGCTTGTCGTTCTCGAAGAACGCCATCTTGCTGCGCGCCTCGAACCCCGGCTGGCCGCCCATGACCTTGCTAACGCGGCGCTTCCACCGGGGCGGGCCGTTCCCCCCCTTGACGCGGCAGAGCTGGAGGGGAAGGGCACCCGCGGCCTCTGCCATCGGGTCGCGGAGCGGCAGCGCGCGGAGCTCGCGCTCGCGACCAGCCCGGCCGCCCCGCCAGGCAGCGGGCAACGCGCCCCGCCTCCCCGCGAGGAGGCGGGCATCGCGTCCCAGGCGCCCAAGCGCCAGATGACGCTGACGTCGTAGGCGCCCGAGGCCGCGACCTACAGGACGCACAAGAATTCGATGCATCGCGCGACTTCGTCGCGCCTCATCGACCGCAGGGCGGGGTCGCTAACGCCGAGGATGACTGGGCGCACCTTATGCCACAAGCTCGCCAATGCCGCGATTCTCGTCGCCGCGGGTCTCCTCGCCTCGCGACGAGATCTCGCGTCGGGAAACGTCGCGGTGCATGGCCTGTTTCTCCCTGTAGGATGTGCCCCCAGTAGCTGCCGCCGAGAGCGGAGAATCCCCATCGTCGCTGTCCTGGGCCCGCTCTGCAATCCAGACCTGCACCTCGAAGTCCTCGAGCGACTCGTCGACCGCGAACGTGGCCCTCGAGGCGGGGCAGGAGCTGCCGCTCGCCTCCGTCGCATCCGACGCCGAAAGTGAACGCGGAGCCCGCGAGCCAAGAGCCCTCGAAGTCCTCTCGGGCCTCGCGTAGATCCCAGTGGCGCCGGAGGCCCCAGAAGGTAGCAGAAAGGCAAACGGCAGCTTCCACCTGGCCGTAGCGCCGTCGCCACGATCGCGCCAGATAGCCACCGCCTGTCTGGGCCGCGGGTCGAACTCGCGCTCCACAGCAGGCTTCCATAGCGTAGATGTCCTGATGTGTCTGTCGCCCTCGAGGCTAGCCACTGCTCTGAGCGCAGACACGCGCGACTCCACCGCGATGGCGCGCGCCTGTGACTGGGCCGCGTTCTCCCAGGCATGCAGACTCGTCGCATCCGCCGGACATCCGCTGGGCAATGCCGGGGCGCGGCCAAACGCCGTCCAGCATGCGCCCGACTGGCTATCCTCACGCGTGAGTTCTCGGCGCGAGCCACTGCCAAGATGGCCGCGCCCATCTGCTGGGCGCCGGCGATCACCCCGCCATCGGTTACCCGTTCCAGCACGTCACGAAAGATCACGCCGCGTAACTTTGCCGCGCCGATTTGCAAGCGCGCCCCGACGCCGCGCATTTCAGCCGCACGCCCAGCATGCAGACGCCGCCCTCGAAGGCAACCTTGAACGAGCACCAGGTTGAACACGATCGCGCGAGATGCCGAAAGGCCAATCCAGCGGCGACCTTGCAAGCTGCCATGGATCGGCCAGTTCGGAGACAGCACCCAATGCGACTTCCACTTGTTATTTGCATCAAGGGCCAGGCTTGCGCTTTATATATCCAGCGTCGTCGGCGCTGCGACGCTGCCCCATGTGGTCCGCCGAGCAGCCAAGGGCGACCCCGAGCGCATCTTCGAGTTGCTCTCGACGTCGTGGCTGACGCACTTCGGGCTCGCGCGCGGCGCAGCGCATGGCGCTGACACAAAGGAGCGCCGCCAGGTCGGCACCCCGGCCCGCCGCGAACCTCAGCGGATCCTTCCTCGACGGGTGGCTGAAGTTCACATGCGTTCCGGCGACGACTCGGCGGATGGCGACGGGTGCCAGCTCCTTGGCGAGGCCGCAGTCGGCAACGCCACTGTGGGGGCTTAGCAATTTGAACTTGGACTCTGGGAATGTCGGGAGCTCCTCGTCGGGCAGCAGACACAGCGGGTCAAGCTCGGCCTCGCGCTGGGCCCCGACTTCCCGCTTCAGGTTGCGCCGCCGCGGCCGCGCGTCTGGCATCGAGGGCCCATTGGCGCCGTGGGGCCCCTGCTTGGGCCACCCCTCGGGCTCCTGCTCAGCGTCGTTCAGGGCCGAGCACCACAACGTGGCGGCGCGCGACAGCGGCGCTCCGCACCGCATCCGGAGGTTGACCGCGCGGTTCATCGCCTCTGCCCCGACCACAGGGTCGCCGCGGCCCAGCGGCGGCACGAGATAGGCCCCGCGGAGAGAGCGCGCTTCGCGGACGCCGGCTGAGAAAATCACCGGGCGCGTCGTAGCCGCACGGGGGCCCTGAACATGAAGCGCCCAGAAAACCTTTATCCAACGGCGAGGAGCTCCTCCGCGCCGCGGGCAAGCGGCCTCGACGGCTCCCGCCTGGCCGTCGAGAGGGGGCCTGCCCGTTTCGCCGAGCATCCCTATTCAGACGTGCACCGCGCCGATCTGGAGGTCCGGAACTGGCGCGAAGTGCAGCGGCTGGCCTATCGACCGCATCCACGACGAGGCCCCGACCGCGCAGGGCGAGACTGGTCAGTTCTGCACGTAGAGCCACTCACGCCCCCCGGGGGGTAAATGCGGGCCGCCCATGCCCCGCCCGTGGCCGACCCCGCGGCACAGCCACGGCGCGCCCCAGGCTGGCCATGGCCAGGGGGGGCGAAGAAACAAGACGCCCTCAACGCAGCGATGTTTCTGAATAGCGCACAGGCGCCCCGATTGAGCCAGCGACTTCCTGTCGGCCCGATAAGCTTCCGCAGGTGGGGGCGCGGCACTAGGGAAACAATCGTGGCGGCGGGCGAAAAAAACAAGGTTACCCAGCCCTTGGTGATCCCGACACCTCTAACGGCCAAGTGGAGGCATTGGCATGTTCGTGCGGAGCTGGAGCTGAAGCTGGCCGTGGAGCACGACTACGTGTCTGTGGAGAGGTTGAGCGAGCGCGAGAAGGGGTCCGCCCCTACGACGAAGCCTGCTTGTCATGGCGCCCTCCACCGTCTTGCCCAGACGATTGCACTACGCCGACCTTTACGATCGCATCGACAAGTATCAGAAGTCATCAAGCAGGACCCTACAGCGACGACGCGCTGCTTGGAGGGCCATCTCTTTGTACGTTTCGCCCGTGCTGGATGGGAAGGCCTCTTTGAGGTACCCCTCTACGGGGTCCCTATGCATGCTGAGGCCTTGGATCTGCTCAGCGCTGGCATCTCTAGGGAACAACTTAGCATCCAGGAGTCTCAGTCTCGAGAGTGGCGACGTCGTTTCGCCAGCTGGAGCAAGAACATCTACAAGCTTGCCACACCATTATTCAGGGCTGCCTCACCGACGGCCCCAGCAGATGTCGTGGAGATGCAAGAAGAATGGGAACAGCAGTGGGCGCCTGAGCCTGATCGACACGATGCTGCTGGCCACTCCACACGCTGGCAGGAGTGGGCCGCGAATGTGGACTTCCCCCAGGCTCGCGAGAGCGAGCATTGGTTGCCGAGTATTGCTCACTTTGATGCTGTACTTTCCAAATGCCATGGTGCTCCAGGTCTTGATGGATGGACCGCTACGGAGCTCAAACTACTACGCCGTTTCTTCCCAGAGATGATCCTGCAGTTGCACGAACTCTGGTGCGACACCAGCCGCGAGCGCGTGGACACCCAGGGCATACTCGACCAGGACGCACTGGACATGATCTTCCCGTGGCGTGTGGTTGGGATCCCAAAAAATGAAATTGAATTTCGACCCATCTCTGTGGGTTCAATATTGGTCAGGGTTTGGCTATCTGCACTTTCGGCTGGGATGCCTCAGCCGCCTGACAACCAGTACGCTGGACGACGTGCGACGAGTGTGGTACATGCCATCAGCAGTTGGTTACATTTGCGTGAAGTGTCGGAGGCCGGTGCCGAATTGGACTTGAGCCGTGCCTACGATAACATCGACCACGCCGTGGGTGCCCAGGCTTGTATTTGTTCAGGGGTGCCCGCAGCTGCTACGTTCACTGCCGTGGCCGCGTGGAGAGGGCCACGATACTGCAGCGTCAACTCCTCGTTGGCGCCACCCACCTGGGCGACGCGAGGTCTTCCCCAGGGAGACTCAGTGGCCCCAGCAACAATGATCGCGGCTCTGGTGCCTTGGCAGCCACCAGTCAGCCACGCTTTCATGGACGACAGGCCCCTCACGAGTACGAGTGCTGAGGAGCTCGCCAGGGACCTGAACTACACGCAACGCTTCGACACGGCTGTCGGCTGAAAGGAGAACGAGCGCAAGCGGCAGATGTGGGACAGGACGGACCAACAACCCAAGCAGATCGAGCACTTGGGGATTGTTGCGACGCCTGCAGACGCCACCAAGCCGATTTCATTACGAGGAGGCTGGGACAAGCTTCATACTGCCACCCGTGCCCTGGGAACAGTGCCTGGGGGGGCCGAGATCCGTGCCCGACTGGCAGTCGCTTACATTCGCCCACTGTGGCTGCAGGCATGCCCGCTAATAGCGCCACCACCACTGCTCACGCGCAGAGCTTTGTATCGGTCGATCACACGGTCGACTAATAAGTGGTGGTGCTACGGTCGCTGGTGGGCACAACACGTACACCTACATCCTCAGCTGTCTGGGGCATTGCAGGCTTTCAAAGTGGTTGCTCAGGAACGTCTAGTTTGGCCCACTTTCCCTGAGCAGGCTATGTTACGACATGCCCAGGTGCTGGGCCTCACGTTCATATCTTACGCCGATCGTCGGGGCGGCTGTCTGCAGGTGGACCCGTCGGCCGATCACCGAGTGGTGAATGTACTGCAGGGGGGTGGTGGATGGCCAGAACCGCTTCTGGACGCACCGTCCTGGCGGAGATCAACGCTATGAGAAGAAGGTCGAGCACGTTCTGCGCTGTGTGGCAAGGATCCGCTGCTTGGCTATGGTCAATGACACGAGGTTCGATGCTGTCGAGATCCTGGACGTGGATGTGGATGCAGAGTCAAACATGATACACAAGAAATTTTATCAGCGTCTGACCGAGGATGAGAGGCGACTGGTGCGGATCTTTCGTGCTGGAGCTGTGTCCTCGGAGACGCGAAGGTGTTCGGGGAAGGACTGCAATCTGCGCGGTGCCACTTCCCCGAGTTTCAGACACAACTGGGAAGAATGCCCAGCGTACCACTACTCTCGAGTGGGCATAGCACGACGTTACGGACTTCCACTGGACTGGTGGACTACGGCACCACGCGCGTTGAATAAGTCAGGCTGGGTTTGTCTCTCCGACGCGCCGACGCCAACCTCAAGGGCGACCAAGCTGACGGCGGCCGCGGAGAGGGCGCTGATTGTCTTGGGTACCGACATGGATACCAGATTGCATCCTCGAGTGGACCACGAACCTTCTCAGAAGGTTCGCGATGCTGGAGGTTAACTTTCTCTCAGGTGGAGCCACTCCAGAGTTAGGGCGCCCCACGTACACCATCTTCTTCTCCAAGGTTACCCTCGCAACTTCTCTGACGTTCGGGCTCGCGCCTAGAACGCGCCGGCGGCCCGGCGCCAGACTGGCGGGCCCCCAAGTTGACGCGCGGCGATAGAGGTGCAGACCGAGCGGCGGGCCAAGAAACCCAAGGCACCTCAACGTCCTACCAGGACATTCGACATGCGGGCGCGTCGATCCAACCCTAATAGAATCCTACATGGGCTCGGTCCAGCTGTAACAGAGTCCTATGAGGGCTCGACTCAGCCTTAATAGCATCCTACCAAGGCTCGATCGTCGTCGTCGTCGTCGTCGTCGCGGCGGTCACTGGAGAGGGCGGGGGCGCGTTCGAACCGCCCCCCTGGCGCGTCGCTCCTTCAGTCCTGTCAATATCCTTGAGCACGTCGCAGTCGACCGATCGAAGTCTCTCTAGGGCAGCGCCGGCCGGCACCGCAATTGGCGCCGACGTTGAAGCGGCGCGACAGCGCGCAGCACATGATGATAACGGCCACGAGCGGCCTCTGCGTAGGCACCGCATCGCGACATTGCTTCTGGCCCTCGCCACCGTCGCGACGAGGCCGCACTGCAGGGTCAGCGCGGCCCGGCGCGCCGCGTCGGCGAAAGTCTGAGCGACGTCGGCGACGCGCGCGACGTCGCCCCACTCGGCGGCGCGCTCGGTCACATTTCCATGCGCGATTGAGCGGGGCGCGCCGCTTGAGTCCGCGTAGACGTCGCGC